CTCGAAATCAATTTAAAATAGTGATATGCGATTATATGATATAAATGCTAGTAGAAAGTTATATGAGAAAGATAAATGTGATGTGGTATAAAACCACCCGTCAAAACTAATAGAACACTACATATACGAGCTAAGCTTCAATCGAACCATGGTTTTGTTTAGTTTGTTAGGGTTAGAGCTCCCCACTCCTAGGGTTTAATTTTCAAAAAAAAAATTGATGAATTTATAGTTTGCTAAAAATATAAATGGCATATGTATAAATTATAAAAATATGAACTTATGTTAATGAAAATTATTTATTAACCGAAATCAATTTAAATAGTGATAGAGGATCAAATGATATAAATGCTGGTAGAAAGTTATATTAGAAAGATAAATGTGACGTGAGTATAAAACCACCCGCAAAACTAACCGAACACTACATATACGAGCTAGATTTCACTATACCTGAGCTGAATCGAACTATAGTTTTGTTTTGTTTGTTAGGATTAACGCTCCGCTGAGGTTAAAATTCCCCACTCCTAGAGTTTAGTTCATTTTAATTCAGAAAAATTTTTTTTGATGAATTTATAATTTGCTAAAAATATAAATGACATAGGTATAAATTATAAAATTATGATTGAAAACTTATTTTTTATGAAAATTAAATATTAATTGAAATCAATTTAAAATAGTGATAGACGATCATATGATGAAAATGCTGGTACAAAGTTATATGAGAACGATAAGTTCGACGTGAGCATAAATTAACAACCAAAACTAGACGAACACTACATATACGAGCTGTATTTGTAGCTGAACTTAATCGAACCATAATTTTGTTTAGTTTGTTAGGACTAAGGCTTCTCTAGGGTTAAAACTCCTTAGGGTTAAAGCTCCCCACTCTTAGGGTTTAATTCTTTTAATTTGCAAAAAAAAAAATCATTTTTGTTTGAGTATATTTTTAATTGTTTAGTCTCACATATTGATTTTATGAATTTTAATTTGTTAAAAATATAAATGGTATGTGTATAAATTATAAAAAAAGAAAATGTAATGTTAATCATTTTAATTTGTTTTACTTCAGTATGAATGTTAAAAGTAGACATATATACAATCAAAATTAGTAATTTTTTTGAAAAAATTTTGATTCCTAGAACGTAATGTCCGCGCCAAAACGGTATAAAAACCTAGTGATAGACGATTCTACGATATAAATTCCGTTAGAAAGTTATATGAGAAGGATAATTGCGATGGGAGTATAAACCACCCGCAAAAACGAACCGAACACTATGTATACGAAGCTGAGCTGAATCGACCCATAGTTTTGTTTAGTTTGTTAGGGTTAATGTTTTCCGCGGGTTAATGCTCCCCACTCTAAGGGTTTAGATCCTTTTAGTTTGCAAAAAAATAATATTTTTGATGCATTTATAATTTCCTAAAAATATGAATGGTATATGTATAAATTATAAAAAATATGATTAGAAATTTATTTTTTATGAAAAGTATATATTAATCAAAATCAATTTAGAATAGTGACATACGATCCTACGATATAAATTTTGTTAGAAAGTGATGAGAAGGATAAGTGCGATGTGAGTATAAACCACCCGCCAAAACAAAACGAATACTACGTATACAAGCTGAGCTGAATCGAACCATAGTTTTGTTTTGTTTGTTAGGGTTAAGGCTTCCCTTGGGTTAAGACTCCCCACTCTTAGGGTTTAGTTCTTTTTAGTTTGCAAAAAAATAATGATTTTTGATGAATTTATAATTTCCTAAACATATGAATGGTATATATATATATAAATTACAAAGAATAAATTAACATTATTCATTTCAATTCATTTTACTTCAGTATAAATATTAAAGGTAGACATAGCTAAATACAATAAAAAATTAATAATTTATATAAAATAAAAATTGATTCTTAGAATGTAGTGACCGCGCTGGACGCGGATAAAAACCTAATTCACACTATTTCTGAAGTTGTAACGTTTTGAAAAATGATTCCAGTATATATATTCTATGAAGGTGTTAAAAATCAAACAAATATTTTTTATTTATTTATTAAAATTAATTATTTGACGTTTTATGATTATTACGTAGAAATTCTATCTCGTTTAATTATTTCCGCTATTCGGTTATTTAACTACTGTTGTTGTTTCATTATTCAATTAACGTACTAGTTTTTTATTTTATTTTAATAAGAACAATTAGTATGTATATTATGAAAATAAAATTCATAGAATCATTTTAGTGTATACAATCTTAATGTAAAAAAAAGTGAGGATTTGTGTTTATTTTATTTTTCTCATTATGAATATAGAGAAATTTTTAAAAATACCATTTATCTTTCTAAATCTTTGCAAAA